GAGGGGCAGAGAGAGAGAGAGAAAGAGAGAATCCCAAGCAGGCTTAGCACTGTCAGCACAGAGCCGGACGTGGGGCTCAAACCCATGAACCGTGAGATCATGACCTGTGCCAAAACCAAGAGTCAGATGCTTTACCAACTGAGCTACCCAGGCACCCCTACAATTTGGGATTCAGTAGGGAGATCCCACAGAACATTCTACCAGCTGGACTCTCCCATCCCCACACTATCTCCACCCCCAAATCCCAAAGCCCCCGGTTGTCTAATGGTCCGTTTTAAACGTGTGAGCTGATGGATGCAACAAGAATGGAAAATTGTTGAAAATTGTTGGCAGTGGATGACAGATAAATGAGGGCTTATTAAGCTATTGCCTCAACTTTCGTGTGTTTGAAATTTCCATAAATTTTAACAGTATAAATTAAGTTAAAAAATAAAGCAGGTTTGATCATATCTCTCCTATACTCAGAGAATTTTTAGTTGGCTTCCCATTGCAGAATAAAATCCAAAGTTCATACTGCTAAGGGTTCTTGTAATCAGTTTAGTGCCACACCACCAGCATTTTTAGAGAGTGATATAGAACACAAAAGAAGAAAAACACTAGAGTGCATTACATGTAGTAAGAATATGTCTTGTTCGATGCAGTGTTCTGTGTATGTGCGTATTTGATTATGATGGGGTGTGTGTGTGTGTGTGTGTGTGTGTATGTTCTGTGGGTCATATCAATAAAGTTTCAAATTATTGCTGTAGTGATCCAATCTCCAACCTCAAAGCTTGCGTGGGGGAGGGGCAGAGAGAGAGAATCCCAAGTAGGCTCCCTGCCACCAGCACAGAGCCCGACTCAGGGCTGGAACTCACAAACTTTGAGCTCATGACCTGAGCTGAAATCAAGTCGGTCGCTCAACCAACTGAGCCACCCAGGTGCCCCTGCTCCCGCCTTTATACTTTCGTAATGATACTTATCTCTATTTGACATACATTTATGGTTATCTGTTTACTACCTTCCTCTCTCCTCTCCAAAGGGAAGCTCCTCTGTTTTGACCAATGTTGTATCTGAAGTAGACACTTAAGAAATATCTGTATTGTCCTGGGCATTCTTTATTAGGTTGACACCTAGGTATTTTTGTTGAGCTTGTGACCGGCGTCGTACAACATTGGCCCCTTCCACCATGTGAGGACACAGCAAGAAGTCCACAGTCTGCAGCCTGGAAGAGGACTGTCACCAGAACTCAACCACACCAGCACCCTGATCATGAACTTTCAGCCTCCAGAACCGTGAGAAATCAATTTCTATTGTCTGTAAGTGACCTGTTGTATCCTGTTACAGCAAAACAGGCTAAGACATGTTTTTTTTATTCTTAGAATTTGAGAAGTAGGCATTATATCAAACATTTAAAAATGATACTTGGTGGCGGGGGGGGGGGGGGAGGCGCAGTGCACCTGGGTGGTTCATTCGGTTAAGCGTCCGACTTTGGCTCAGGTCATGATCTCACAGTTTGTGGGTTCAAGCCCCATGTTGGGCTCTGTGCTGACAGCTCAGAGCCTGGAGCCTGCTTCAAATTCTGTGTCTCCCTCTCACCCACTAGTGTGCTCTCTCTCTCTCTCTCTCTCTCTCTGTCTTTCAAAAATAAATGTTAAAAAAATTCTTTTAAATGATATTTGGGAGTGCCTGGGTGGTTCAGTCAGTTAAACATCTGACTCTTGATTTCAGCTCAGGTCGTGATCTCACGGTCATGAAATCAAGCCCCATGTTGGGCTCCACGCTGGGCATGGAGGCTGCTGAAGATTCTCTCTCTTCCTCTCCCTCTCCGATACTCGGAGAATTTTTAGTTGGCTTCCCATTGCAGAATAAAATCCAGAGTTCATACCACTAAGGGTTCTTGTAATCAGTTTAGTGCCACCCCGCCAGCCTTTTTAGAGAGTGATATAGAACACAAAAAAAGAAAAACACTAGAGTGCGTTACGTGTAGTAAGAATCTGTCCTGTTCTCTCCCTTCTCAAAAAGAAAAATATTTCAAATATGGTCATGGTACGAATATTATTAAGAAAATATAATATATTTTAATACAGCTACACAAAAATCATTACATAAATTATAGAGCCCTGGGCAGCAGCTTTTAGTATTTTCCCAAAGGGAAGTATTGTATTTCATTGTAGATTATTTTTGTGTTCTACAGAGCATCTGTGCATACACACTCCAGGAGGAAAAACAATCCGTATTGCAAGTTGCAACTAGCATAGCATGGAATTGTTTTTTTTTTAATTTTCACTGGTAGTTTACAGCCGAAAATCGTTTCATTAGGAACAACATACAGAGTCTTGAGTAAGACCATCTTCATCATCCTGAGTTCTATTTTACAAAAGAAATCTATCTGGAAGAAATATAGTGACGTATAGTAGCTTATGGTTTACTTATTTCCCAGATAGGAAAAAAAGAAAGAAATTAATACTTAATGGCTGCTTTCCAAGTGCTCAGTACACCATGCTTTATATGTATATTATCTTATTGCTCTCTCTCTCTCTCTCTCTCTCTCTCTATATATATATATATATATATATAGTCTTATTTACTCTAAGAAGAATGTTCCTTTTTTTGTTAAGTTTTATTTATTTGAATAATCTCTACACCCTATATGGGGCTCAAAGTCACAACCCTGAGATTAAGAGTCACATGCTCTTCCAACCAAGCCAGCTGAGTGCCCCAGAATGTTCCCATTTTAAAGATGGGGCTGAGGTACCTGGGTGGCTCAGTCAGTTAAGTGCCTAATTTGGCTCAGGTCAAGATCTCACAGTTTGTGGACTCGAGCCGGTATCGGGCTCCGTGCTGACAGCTCAGAGCCTGGAGCCTGCTTCGGATTCTGTGTCTCCCTCTCTCTCTGCCCCTTCCCCACTAGTACTCTGTCTCTCTTTCTCTCAAAAATAAATAAACATTACAAAATTTTAAAAAATAAAGATAGGAAATATTT